TGTTTGCATGAGAACTTCTTGCTGCACTTTTAGATAAAAGATTGATTTTATCACAGCATACTGTGCAGATTCTGTCCATGGAGTGGTTCATCCCCCCCTCCCATGCTGTGGTGCCTTTTATTTTGTAACAAACAAAACCATATACCTTCTCCTGAGAAGCTGGAATGTTCTCTCTGTCATAACATCCATCAGTGTGCACAGGCTGGCACGGGACACTCCAGCAGGTTTCCATGCAGCAGCTATTCATGCTAAAATACAGGCTTCTCAAGCCTTAACTACAAGGTTCAATAGAGCAAACGTGGCTTGCTCAAGATCACTAACTCCTTGAATGCAATATCTTCCCAATACAGCCCCACTAACTTTTTTTGCTGTGAAACTTGAGATGATGAGTGGCTCACACAATGTACTTCAACAGAGGAAGGGAAGTCAAGCACTAACAACACCCAAATACTGCTAGATGGAGGGACAGATGGTGCTAGATGGAGGGACAGATGGGAGGGTCTGAGTGCAAATTGGTAAGTCCCCATTGCTCAGGATTCCTTGTTGCTGGGGACATATATAACATAGAATACAAAAAATATCTCTCTTCATATACAAGTGCTTTTACATGAAAAAGGCTGAAACTCCAAACCACAGTTTCCCTGGTGGCATAAGATGCATCTGTCCTGGTTTCGGCTGGGATAGAGTTAATTTTCTTCCTAGGAGCTGGTATAGTGCTGCATTTTGGATTTAATATGAGAATAACGTTGATAATACGCTGATGTTTTAGTTGTTGCTAAGTAGTGCTTACATTAGTCAGGGACTTTTCAGCTTCTCATGCCCTGCCAGCGAGAAGCTGGGAGGGGGCACAGCCCGGACAGCTGACCCAGATGGGCCAAAGGGATATTCCATACCATATGATGTCATGCTCAGTATATAAACTGGGGGAAGTTGGCTGGGGGCACCACAGCTTGGGAACTGCCCAGGCATCGGTCAGCGGATGGGGAGCAATTGCATTGTGCATCACTTATTTTGTATATTCTTTTATTATTGTTATTGTTATTTTATCTTCCCTTGCTGTCCTATTAAACTGTCGTTATCTCAACCCACAAATTTTACCTTTTTTTTTTGATTCTCCTCCCCATCCCACTGGGGGGGGGCGGGAGGAGTGAGCGAGCAGCTGCATGATGCTTAGCTGCCAGCTGGGGTTAAACCACAACAGTATCTTTGGTCCAGAAACACCCACATCCTGGAGGTTATAAGGGAAATCTGTCACTTTCAAGTAGGAAGCTCTTCTGAAGCTGTGATCAGGGAAAATCAGCTCTTCCTGCTAGTGCTTCTCCCTGCTCTCTTACCTAATTTTTTTTCATGCAGATACAATACCAGGAGCCCCTACAACTGATAGAAAAAAGTTTTAGAAAATGCACTTTGATACCATATCTGTCATCTATGCTGCTATTATCCCATTCATGGTTTCTGAAAAAAAATGGTAGTGTGGCTGATAAAGTAAATGTGTCTAATGTTATATAACTTATGAAATACTGTTGGATAATAAGCTGCCTAACATAGGAGAAATATACTAACTGAAGAACATAATAAATTTAAACACAGTGCTGCCAAGCCACCAGAACAGGAGAGCTGGAAGAGAGTCCACCTGCATATTTCTGCTTGCTGCATTTTTGAGACATGTCTGAAAGATTTGAGTTTAGCCAGAAATCCAAGAATAAATCTGTTATTAAGTGGGATTTGGAACTGTATATCATTTTTGTTTGTTTTTTCACATTTAGAACTTTTTTATCAATTTTATAATTCAGGCTTTAACCTTTGCTTTGCTAAAATAAACGTGCACTTCTTTCACTCAGCTTATGCAAAGCAAGTTTAGGTAAAGCTGACACGCTCAGGTTATAGTATTTCTGCAGAGAGAAAAAGTCCACATCAAGTAGTATATAGGTCCCTCTGGGGAACTTGTGTGCAGAGATGTGCTGAGGGCACTGAGAAATTGTCAGTGCCTCTCATCAAGCTTCAAGGGTAATTAAGATACTAGGATGGCCAGGTACAGAGTTGAGAAGTTTTCCCTAGTACTCACAGCACCTCGCGGCTCCAGGCAACATACAGAATCACCAAGTGATATAGTCAAACAGATTTTTAATCTTTGCTTATCAGTCAACTCTGATTCCAAAGGAAGGCAACAAAAAAATTTGGAAATGAATTTTTGTTTTCTGTTTGCATTGTCACAAGGAAAGAAGGTAACAGAAAATAAAGAGTAAACAGTTTGTGCAGTCAGAAAGGAGTCTCAGAACAGGAGATAGATTGCACAGGAAAAGCAACAGTTGAGAGTAGAGAAAGTTTTGCTTGGAGAAGCTGACCAAGGTGGAGGATAGGATTGCGCTGAATAGGAAGAAACTCTCAGAAGCTATGAATCAGCCAAAACCAGATCTCAACAACATGGGGTTTCAGCTCATGTTAATTGGAATGAAGACTGAGGCAGAGCCTGGAGAGTCTGCAACCAAATGACCTAGTCTGAGGCTTGCCTAGGTGTTGTGGTTGGACCCCAGCCGGCAACTAAGCACCACGCAGCCACTCGCTCACTCCCCCCACAGTGGGATGGGGGCGCGAATTGGAAGCGTACAAATGAGAAAACTCGTGGCTTGAGATAAAGACAGTTTAATAGGGAAAGCAAAAGCCACACACGCAAGCAGAGCAAAACAAGGAATCCATTCACCACTCCCCATGGGCAGGCAGGTGTTCAGCCATCTCCAGGGAAGCAGGGCTCCATCACGCATAATGGTTACTTGGGAAGACGAAACGCCATAACTCTGAACGTGTCCCCCCCACTTCCTTCTTCTTCCCCCAGCTTTATATTGCTGAGCATGATGTCATATGGTATGGAATATCTCTTTGGCCAGTCTGGGTCAGCTGTCCTGGCTGTGTCCCCTCCCAGCTTCCCGTGCACCCCCAGCCTTCTCACTGGCAGGCCAGCATGAGAAGCTGGACTGTCCTTGACTACTTAGCAACAACTCAAAACATCAGCACGTTATCAACATTTTTTCATCCCAAATCCAAAACATAGCTTCATACTAGCTTCTGTGAAGAAAATTAACTCTACCCAGCTGAAACCAGGACACTAGGTCATCAGAAAATGCCATTCTTTCCAATCAGCACTCCAATAAACCGTTTCTATACTAAAATATTCAACAAAGGATAGCTAATGGAGGTAGCAAGGGGGAGTTTCCAATGTCCATTTTGTGGACTGGGCCCAGATCTGAGGGCCTGCAACAGGCGGAAGATGCCTGGCTGTCTGGCTGGCTCCCTCCCTCCGTTGCTGCAGGGAGCAATTTGCCACCCTGCGCTGAGAGGTGCTCCCCATGCCCAGATGGCTAGGCACAGTGATTTCAGGGCTAGGCCAGGTTTGT